ATTGTAGTAACAATGTTTTTTTCTTTTTTTTACATACCAGATGATTTTGAAAACCTTTACATATAAAAAGTGGGTAGTACCACACAAATGTATCCATAGTTCTTGTTATTCACCACACAAGAGCCAGCTCAATGATTCTAACAAAAAAAGAAAAACAGAAAACAAAAAAAATGTTAACTGGAAAATAACCTACTAGAGGCATTTTTCATCTCTATTTAACAATGGATCTTCAAGATGCAGCCGCAATTTTTGACATTGTCCCTTTCGGTTAATTTAAAATGAGTCTACTATAAGGCGTATATCTCAAAACCCCTTTTGTAAGAACCTGCCTCGAAACCTCCTGAAAGTTTTAAAGATAGTGAATGCTTGTCTGAATCGGAAGAAACATCTTTAATATCTGATTCAGAGGGACTTAATAATGAGCAGGATCTTCAAAACCAATGAACTTTCAAAATTGCAAATAAACCGAAGGTATATTTAGGATTGCCCAACAGTGTTTTTAAAATCCTCAATATTTATGAGAAGGGAAATGTAGCTTACATAAACCTTTTACATTTCTGTGTGAATTAGTGGTATTTTTAACTTAAAAGAACCAAATAATTTAATAATTTTTTTTTTATTAATTATCACATTTCGGAGATTATAATAATTGTATATAAACAAAAATGTAAAATCTGTGAAAATTTTATTTATTAACCTATTAGAAAAAACTACAAATAACTGAATAAGATAAACGAAATAAACAACACTTTATTTACAAATAATAGAAAATATATACACAAGCCCTAACAATAATGGATATGTCAAATTAAAATTCATTATCAAATTGAACTTGTTATCGACTTCATTATTTACTTCAAATGTGGAAAAAACAATGTAAAATACTTTATGTTCATGAGTAATTATTCCGTTTATTGGGCAAATATCTCCTTTTCTCAAATTATTCATGGGAAATCGCATTATCTCCATATACTTGCTTGGCAGATCTAAAAATAATAAAATATTTAATAATGTGATGATTTTTTTAGTATTTTCAAGAGTACATTTTTATGCAATCCTATTTTTTCATTTTTTTTTACTTTTCTATGTTCCAAATTATTTCATAAAATATTATCATGTAAATACTAGACATGTGTGTAATAGTTGTAACGGAAAGAGTTTGTATATTTACAAAAAGTAGTCATTCATTCACAAAAATGAACTTATATTACAATTATTTACAAGACATACAACAAGTAGGTAATCCTCGACCAAATAAAAAAAGTGTTACAGTAAATACATGTGCACTACCCTTGTAAATATTTTAAATGTTATCTAGTTTTAATTTTTGAGGTAGGCAAATTCTATGAACTTGTTTTATACAATAACAAATTTGCTATTTCTCAGGTAATACATAATTATACTTTTACTTCTAATTATAGAAATAATACCAACAGCACAGCCCTTGTTGCTTCAAAGTACAGACATATCGTCCCAATTTCTAGTGTTATATTTGTGGATATCAGTGTACGCTAATATATATATTATAAGAAAAATATATTTTTCTTATAAATATAAATGAAGTAAAGGGTAAAGGTAAAATGTTTATTTTTTAAAAACTGTTACTCTTCGAGAACCCCAATGACCTGAGATAAATATGTTTTTACTATAAGGTGTATTGCTCCATATTAACTGTAACTACTATTAAAACAAATTATAAATAAAGTCTTACATACCTTTCTGTCTTTTTTAACCCTTTCAATACTCCGGGGATATATACGTCCCAAAGAAAGTTTGAAAAAATCGGTATAGAATTAGAAAGCTTTAAATTATATTGGGACGGGATTTACTAGTTCAGACTATCCACTGCGCAGGTTGGTTGGCACATTCAATGTTTACATTGTCTTTATTCAAGTGTTATTGTTGCACGTGTCGCATCTTAGTGGCTATCGTCCGACTAGTTACTTGTTTATTGGTGCTTTTGGGCAGTGTTTTAACTATTTTCAAGGATATAGCACCCAGGTAAGTGATTCTATTCTCTTTTTTATAATAAAAAGTTATTTTTCTGCATGTTTTTGCAGAAAAAAATTGCTTGGGATTTATATATCCCTGCAGTGCTGTAAGTTGGGATATATTTATCCCCGCAGTGCTGATTGTCCGCAGTGCTGATTTGTATCATTTGTTTCAGAATGAGTAGCAGGCGTCCGCTCTCTGAAAAGCAACTATCAGGGATTGCTGAAAGGATGTTTGTGGATGAATCAGATAGTGAAGAAGATCCTATTCACGACAGTGATGATAGTGACGATGAGGATTATAGAGATGGTTCTGAAAATTCATCAGATTATTCACATGATGAAGATTCTGGTTCTGAGGAAAGTGAAACTGATTCTGAACAAAATAATATGGAATCTGAAAGAACTGAACAAAATAATATGGAATCTGAAACAACTGAACAAAATACTATGGAATCTGAAATAACTGAAGGGACCAATAATCAAGAGAGGAAAGATACTACTAAAATTCCTTCTTCATCTGCAGGCAAGTATATTTGGAACAAGAATCTTCTTACTTTTTCACCCAAACGAAACATTCCAATAGAAGAAAACCTGGTGATTATTGATAATCTAAATAGAGGGTCAACTATGCTTGAATGTTTTTACCAGTTGTTCCCAAAAAGTCTAATCACGCAGATTAGTTATTATACTAATTTGCGTCTTGATATATTGGAAAAAATGAAGAAAAAGCCAATCAAAAAAACCTCAGCAGGAGAAATTAAAATAATTAAATTCATGTCGTATAATCGTGTACCAGCTATTCACATGTACTGGTCTAGAAATAAGTCGCTGGGAAATCCACCCATAATAGAGGCCATTTCTAGAGACAGATTTATGCTGTTATTATCAAAACTATACCTAAACTATCCGGAGAAACCAGAAAATGCATCAAAAATTTACTATATGGAAGAAGTTATATCCTGCTTGAAGCACACCTTTATAAAAACTGGAACAGACTCCACATTTCAGGCAATAGATGAATCTATGACCAAATTCAAGGGGAGGTCCTCGCTAAAACAATATCTTCCATTGAAGCCGATCAAAAGAGGTATAAAATTGTGGACAAGGTGTGACTCGAAAACTGGTTATGTTTATGACACAAATATCTATTGCGGAAAAGATAATGAAGTCTCTGAAGGAACTCTAGGTGAGCGAGTTGTGCTAAAGTTGGCGGAAACTATAAGAAATCCTAATGTGGCAATATGCTTTGATCGCTTTTTCTGTTCGACAATACTCTTAGATTCAATCGGATATTCTGGGAACCTATATATCCAGTTGAAAGAGGAGCCTGTGAAATGGCTGGGTGTAAAGAATGCATACTAGCAATAAAATGGAAGGATACTAAGGACGTGTTGGTAATGAGTAACTGTCACATGCCTATAATCGAAAAAACAAAACGAAAAATGAAAGATGGCACTTCAAAAGAATTGGAATGCCCAGAGGCCATTATTTTTTATAATAAACATATGGGCGGCGTAGATCACGCTGATCAGATGTCTACATTATACGAATTAGACCGAAGAAGTACTAAATGGTGAAAGAAAGTCTTTTTCCGATTGCTAATGGTTGCCCTATGTAATGCTCACATTGTCTATCAAGAGCTAACTAAAAAAAAAGATTCCATTTATTGACTTCGTGGTAAATGTGGCTGAAGGCCTTATTAGTGAAGGAAGGTCTCAAACAGATAACAAACGATCAAGAAGAGGGTAAAACATTGCGAAAACATTGGTGATCATCTTCCTATTGATAAAGGTGGTCGAAATAGGTGTATTCGTTGTAAGTCCAGAAAAATTGAAAAAAGAATCAAAATAATATGCAAGAAATGTCAAGTACCTTTATGTGTTGTTTCACTCCATACCATACATAGATTTATGAAATAAATTTGTAGAAATAAATATTTCCTGGATAAGTTAATTTTTTATTTTACCGCGTCAACACTTGCGGGGATATATATATCCCACGTTTCTATACTGCAGGGATATATACGTCCCAAGTTTTTTTCTAAAAAACGGCTTGAAGAAAAAATTTCAAATTGATTGAGCATGCTATTGCTATAGTAACTGGTTTTCATCATAAAAAACACCTATAACACAAATAGCCAAAAGTCGTATTGAAAGGGTTTAATCTGAGTATTGTTAAAAAATGCAGTAATCATCTCGGTAATCATATCTTGGTTTACAATTGGTAAAACACTCGAATCACCTTTTATAAATCCAGCTGATAAACTCATATTAATAATAAAATTAAACCAATTAGCAAAGAGAGAAGAAATAAATCTACAATTGAGAAAAAAGTAAACAAAACAAACGAATGTTAGGTTAGGTGGTCTAGGTGGTGTCAATTTTAAGTGTCACTTAGATGTGTGTTCACTTCGACATTCTGTGTGTCGGTTTGTTCGTTGGCTTGGTTCTGTATAACAAAAAAAACTTCGACACAAGCTGATTGGTCTATTCCCGATGACGTACATATTTCAAATTTTAAATTTAAATTGGTTTTAATTTAAAAACTTTTGGCTTTTTTAACAAACTGATTATGTAGAATAACTTGAATAGCGACTAACTGTTACAATATAATTTTTAAAACAGCATATCTCACGTGTGAACATGGCCCATTGTTAAAATTATGAGTGAATGCGGATTTTGTTTAGTCTCGGAAGTAATTTTGTGGTATTTAGGCTCCACCCTTAAGTTGTATTTTTTATACCCACTAAACTGTGCTCCTTTTTGGAAAATGTGTACGGTATACTAAAAATTGTACATCCATCTGTTGCAAAGCTTTCTATCAATTATTTTTGTCCACAATTCCTGTATTTTCCCATTAATATTATTACTTTAATTTTTTTTGTTCACATTGGATTTATTTATTATTATGATTTAAATGTCAACTTCCTCCATATTCTCTTGAACTAATTATATCTGTCGTAAAATATGATACTTCCGGATTTAAAAACAAGTAATCCGAAGACACTCACTTTGTTGGAATAAAACCCAAACACACACACATTACACGAAAGTAAAAGTGCTCAGCCTTCAGAGGCGCTGTGCCCTGTACGTACTTGACGCAAAGAATAAGGAATCTAGTCATGTTGAATTTTGCCTACTCGACTACAAAAATAAGCGCAAATTTTGTGGAAGTTCATGGTTAAACAGGGTGTGGTGCCGATATATAATGAAAACAATTTTTGCCAGTGGGCACTGTGCGACTGCAATATCTTCGTAAAAATGTTCTTAAAACTGGTAAGTCATTCAAAAATTTTGGAAAAGAAATTTTGCAATTTATATCTAAATTATTCTATATTTCTATTATGCTTTCAATTTGATTAGTTACATACAGGGTGGTTCAAACTTTTGAAAACTATAACTTAACAACAAGTAAAGTATTTAGTTTTCTGGGAAAACTCCAATAGAATTATTACAAATGATTACAACGTTGCCAAAATAAATATTAAAATTTAAAAATATAGGGTCGTACAAAATTTATCAAAAATATTTTTATCGAATGACATTTGAATAAAATATACGTGATCGAAAAGGCAATAAATAAAAAATCCTTTAGATCGAAAGACAATATATCAAAAATCAACAGAATAAAAATAGTAATATAAAGAAAATAGAATGTTTAATGGTTTGGAAAACGGTATTTATACAACTGAAGTTAATTTTTGAAAATAATATTAATTAAGAATAGAACAAAATAATTAATATTGGATGCATATTTAATATGTGTCAAAGTTGGTTTAGAAAAATTTATGAAATTAATTTGTCCAAATGTATGCCGTGATTTTAAAACAATTTTTCTTAATTTCTCTAACAATTAACTCTTAATAATCTAATTTAATATAAGCTTTAATGTTCAATTATTTGCTTTTTTTTCTATTTTCATGACTATTCTTTTATATCATAATTGTTTTCTTCAATTTTTTGATCATTTTTGCTTCCGATCAATTAATTATAATAATAATTATTATTCTATTAGTTGTTTTTTATATTAGATCAATTTTGTGCCACCCAAAAATATATTTATGAAATTTACTTTACTTTACTTGCATCAAACTCAATCACCAACTAGTGCAAAATTAATTTATTCTGCTTTGGATTTATTTTCAGCACAAAAAATTCAAAACGCTAAGAAAATTAAAATATAAACAAATGGAGGTTAAACTTAATTTGATTTTCAAATTGAAGCACAAGAAGTGTCAAACTGATAATAAACTTCTTTGCTTATTAAGGAACATAATAAAACTTGGTTTAGAGTTCAAATGAGTGGTTTACATATATAGGGTGTCCCATTAGTGTTTAAATAAATATTTTTAAAATCTCTTTGGCTATACAAGGTGTTGCGTTTTGGTCTGACAAATAAAAATCGAGGTATTTTGTTGTGTTTTTTATTTTAATTATAACGTTGTCATTTATTTGTATGTTGAAAGAAGGCCTTTGTAAATTACATTGCTCTCTATGGATCTACTTTAACACAAAAATAGTTTTGTGGGTATAAGTTGCTATAACTTATCGTCGTAAAACTATTAATAATTTAAACATAGTAAGTAGTATTCATATAACTTCAAGTAATTTTGTAAAATAAAGTACATGATCTTAAAACAGAAATAATTTATAATAAATGCGGGTAAAATAACAATAAATTAAGGGAAATACTTAAAAAAGGCAGGTTTAAAGAGTATTATCACAAGAAAGTATATCCGTTCTGTTTATTTATCAATTATTTTTTGAGGTTACTTTTGAATACGTTTATTGTTGTTTTTTTTTTTAATTTCTGTAGGCAGTCTATTAAATTTTTTAAACCTTTAATAAAAATTGTATTTTGGAAACTTTTAGTGATGGCTTGCCGTACATGAAAGTCAGATTGACTTCTTGTATTATAGTTGTGATATTGCGAATTATATTGATTTTTTCTAATAGATCTGATGCGATGGTACTATGTCATTTTTATTTTATAAATAAATATCAGTAATGTACTGAGCATAATTCTGAACTGAAAGCCAATTTATTTCTTAACATAGTTGCAATACTCATCCTTCTGTCCTTTATTAATATTATATAAATAGGCGAAGTAAGGAGCCCAAATATTTTACATGAGCAGGCTTAATAGATAAAGGGGCCAATCATTATTGAATAAATTGGTCATACAAGTTTGTAAACTCTAATCAAAAGGCGAGGGTGTCTGTAAAAGGTCTTTACAAAAACATACCACTTATTCCTTAGACCAAAATAAGTCGATTTAAGTAAAATTACCTTTGTACAAAGTTGCTTCGTTTGGGCTCCAGAGGGCCTTGAAGTTACAATTTTTAAATCGTTTTTCCCATATAAATTTAAAACGGCATATGCGATTTTGCTGAAATTTGGTATATTGGTAGAGTTTTATGTGGCAAAAAAATGGTATTAAAATTTTGTCCGATAATAATACATAGGCGTAGAACTTGACTTTTTAAATAATTGCACCTTTAAAAATTCTACGCCAATGGAAGAAAAGGAGTTTGAGTATAAAATTTAGATTTCGCAACTCATTTACTTTAAAAAAGATACTCTTGATAAGACTCGATTACTCTCATGGTTTTCACTAAATGTCTGTTTTAATAATTTAGAGTGTAGGTTTCACAAAAATATTTATTTACAACATAATCAAAATAGAGATTTTACAAAAATTGTTCAAAATGTTCACCATTTTCACGCATACAAAGATTTATACGTCAAAGAAAATTAAAATGTATCCTTTCCATAACTTCTTCATCACCTCTAAGATTGTTTATTGCATCTTGAATAAGTTGCCAGAGTTGTTCCTCATTTTTTACAGGTTCCCTGTAAACTGTGGATTTCAGATGTCTCCATAAAAAGTAATCCATCAGTGTTAGGTCTAGGGAACGTGGTGGCCAGTTTACAGGTGGGTCATTACCTCTGTCTATCCATTTGTGTGGATATTGTTCATTCAAGTGGTTTCTAACGTTTAAAGAAAAATGTGGCGGAGCTCCATCTTGTATAAACCACATATTTCTCCGAAGTTGGAGAGGTAAATCTTCTAACAATTCTGGCAACGTATTTTGTAGAAAATCCAAATAATTTTCTCCAGTTAATCTTCGTAGAAATATGACAGGACCAACAATGAAATTACCAATTATTCCAGCCCACACATTAATTTTGAATTCGTGCTAAAAATGGTTTACCTTTATTGCATGCGGATTTTCAACGGCATAAACATGTTCATTATGGGTACTAGTTATACCTCTTTTTGTAAAACCCGCTTCATCGGTAAAGAGAACCTTCTTGACAAAGTTTGGATCTCTTTCTCTTTGCATATTAACAAATCGACAAAAACCCAAACTAATTTGAAGATCATGGACTAATAATTCTTGTACTGGCTTCTTATGGTATGGATATAGCAATTGTTCTCTAAGCACTTTATGAACGACATCTTTAGTTACTCCTAGTTCCCTTCCAATTCGTCTGGTGCTTAATTCTGGATCTTCTTCAACACGTTCTAAAATGTCTTCTTCAACTTCAGGAATCCTTACAAAACGTTCTCTTCCATTATCAACAGTATTGGGAGCAAAGGAACCGGTCTCCCGAAGACGTCTCTCAACAGCAGCAAAAGTTGGGTGGCTAGGTACACGACGATTTGGAAACATCTTTCAGAGTACACCCTACCCTGACACTTTCTCGAGCATTTCCTTCACAAAATCCTAATGTCAGTAACATATCGGTATATTCTGCATTGGTATATTGTACAGCCATATTAATAAACCACGCATTTGTTTTTTTAATTATTGAGTCAGATAGAACACTTTCAATCGTTAACAAGAGATTAGGTGTTAAAACTTGACAATATTTTTATTTAGATGAAACTATGGATACCAACAATAAATGTTTTTGTATACGTATTGCAGGCAAATAATTAATATTCCTCAAAAAATCGTACATGGCAAGAATCGAGTATTTTTGTTAAAAGTCTCGATTAGAGGTGTTGAAGAAGATATGAAAAAGTACATTTTTATGTTTTTCATCGTATAAAATTTTGTCCGATGATAATAATACATAGGCGTAGAACTTAATTTTTAAAATAATTGCACCTTTAAAAATTCTACGCCAATGGCAAAAAAGGGGTTTGAGTATAAACTTTGGATTGGGTACTCATTTACTACAAAAAATTACCCTTGATAACACTCGATTTACTCTTATGGTTTTGACAAAGTTTGTATTTTAATAATTATTGTTTATGTTCTAAAATTACTAAAATGCAAATTTCGTCAAAACCATGAGAGTAATCGAGTCTTATCAAGTGTACCTTTTTTAAAGTAAATGAGTTCCGCAATCTAAATTTCATACTCAAACTCCTTTTCTTTTATTGGTATAGAATTTTTAAAGGTGCAATTATTTAAAAAATCAAGTTCTACACCTATGTATTATTATCGGACAAAATTTTAATACCATTTTTTTTCCACATAAAACTCTACCAATATACCAAATTTAAGCAAAATCGCATATGCCATTTTAAATTTATATGGGAAAATCGATTTAAAAATTGTAACATCAAGGCCATCTGGAGCCCAAACGAAGCAACTTTGTACTAAGGTAATTTGACTTAAATCGACTTATTTTGGTCTAAGGAATATGTGGTATGTTTTTGTAAAAACCTTTTACAGACACCCTGTAGAATGGTTTTAAAAAACAAGGCTAACCTAACCTAATTAATGCCAATGCTTCACAAACCAAAAAATTCAACGTCCTAATACTACTATCGGCTTTCGGTCTTTCGTTCCAAGTTAAATTATTTCTCGTTTTTGTTACGCTACGAGTTTACCCTTGTTGGCCTCAGTCTCGATAAGGTGGGAACCACCATTTTAACGTCTCTTAAATTGACATTTAGGTCTGGGCAGTATTTGGTTTTGAGTACAAATGAATTAGGGACTTTTGCGCTATAGTACTGTGCATGGTTTTGGAACAATTCAACCGAGAACCAAAACAAACTGTAAATTAGAAATATTAAATTATCCATATCTCAAATGTGGTCATTTTACTCAATACCGCATCAAATTAATTTAAAGTGGTGTTGATTTCGAGTTTTTATTCTATGTTTAAATTATAAATTATTTTCAAATTAATAACGTTCTTGATCTTCTTGGTCTTATATTTTATTATAATTATCTAAAAGGCAGTACATTAGTTTTGGCTGCAAGCTATCTTCAGGTATATAGTCACAAAATTAAAATTTACACAAAGTTACAATAATAATTATAGATAAAACAATTTTTTAAATTTTCCTTTTTGTTTCATAATTATAATGAATATGAACTGAAAGCATTAATACCTGCATTATTTAATAAAATTATTGATTATGAGATGAGAAGAAGGGTTTTTAAATAAAACCGGTAATAAAATATCAGTGACATTGCAATAAAATTTAAAATTAGAAACAAAAGTTGGTTACATTAAAATTACTTTTTGATAAATCAATACTGCCTTGTTTCATTATTTTTCTAACTTTGACATATAAAGTGACATTTTTTGTAATCGCAGCAATTGTCAAATTGTATGAGTAATGTTCAACATTATGAAACTGGAAATGAAAAATTCATTATGTTGCGAGAAGAAATCAAATAAAAATAAAACTTTTTTGTTTCTAAAATCAAGATATACATTATTATTAAAAGTTTATTCTAAAGAAAAACAGGTTGACTCATAAAAATAGAATTTGGTTAAACTTACAACCTAGTAATAATGTTGTTTTGGTTCTTATTTGCCACTCTAAATCAGAACAAAATAATTAAAACACCTACACGTCAAAAGAACCCAACGTTTTGGAAACTAAATAAATTTAATAAGCAATTAAAACACACTACAAGTCATTGAGAATAAATAATTAATATGATGTTCTATTTGACAATGAAATAATGCATTAGCAACTAACAATACAAGAAACTAATATTGGCTGCCTGGATATCAGTAATGTTTTACCAAAAGACAATTTTATAAATATTTTAGTTAAAATTAGAAAAAATATTGTATGTAATATGTTACGAAACTCGTTTATGTTGCGAGACCTTGCTCTGCTCGACCTTCAAATACCCACTCGTTACATAAAATAAGACATTTCGTAACTGGTTGCATAAATAGCTATTAAAATTATTGTTTTGTATATTATTTTGGGGCTATTATCTTATTATAAAATCCTTACCATTTCAAAAATTAAAAAAGGGTGGTTAAGACATTATCATTTTCCTTATGATTTAAAATATTCCTATATTTCAATTTTTCTCTGCATATTGATTTGTTTATCCAATGTAAGTAGTCTTTTTAGACAATTTTATAAACAAAATTTTAGGTTTCAAATGAAAAAATAACATTTTTGTTGTATTCTGGTCATAAATTAATTAATGTGTGTTCTAATTAAAACATTAAATTGAAAAAATGTCAAATACAATGTTTATATTGCACACATAAAAAAAATTTCTTATTTTTATTACAAAACTATTTAATTATTACGAAAAATAACAAATTATAAACACATTTATTAAAAAAATTCCAAGTAATAACAATTGAAATGTATCAATATTTCAGACAATAACCGCTTGCTGTTTGGCGATATCCCTTGGGGCAACCTATAACGGACCCCTAGCCGGAGGACAACCAGCAGCCCTCTTCCCTGCAGGAGTTGACCCCAAAGCGTGTCCCAACTTCCCACAATGCTCCAACCCGTCAGTAGCAGTCAATCAAATACCTGAACAATCGCAATACGCTCCTGTTCAATTCCCCCAAACCAATCAATACTCGCAACCCGCTCAGTACTCACAACCTCAACCTGTTCAATATCAACAACCCGCTCAGTACCAACAACCCGCTCAGTACCAACAACCCGCTCAGTACCAAGAACCCGCTCAGTACCAACAACCCGCTCAGTACCAACAACCTGCCCAATACCAACAACCTGCCCAATTCGCCCCAACCAGACACACACAGACTCCATCTGGACCTGCTCAATATACTTCTGAAGTGCAAAATGCTTTAGATAGAGGAGACTACATTGGAGATGGAGATTATCATGGAGAAGGTCTCGCAGAATCTTTGGCTCCTGGATATGATGGTAATTTAATTTAATATACTCTTCACGCTTCAAAAATATTAATAATTTTATTACAGCTCCCCAGCAACAGCAACAACAACAACAACAACAACAGCAACAACCAGCTTTCGCTCCACAACCTTCATACAATCCAAACCCAGCAAGCCAGTACAACCCTGCAGTAGCAGCAGGTCAATTCAGATACAGCCAAGCTGGAAGTCATGGTCAACCTGCCCAAATTCCTGCTGGTGTAGATCCTGCATCTTGTCCAAATTATCCATTCTGCGGTTAGAAACGTAAAGAAGAACACACCAGATTATACCATGTCTATTGAGCGTTAAAATATTTTTTTCCATGTAGCATTGAGCGAAAAATATGTCATCTTTTTTGCCGAAAATCACCTCAAACGCTAGTGATAAACATATTTGCGTTCAACTTTTACAATAAATATCACTGTAATTATATTTACGCTCTTCTTCCATAGTAGCAATAGATACACATTTTTGTCGCTTTTTCTCATTTGTAGCTAGCGATAAACGCTTATTTTGTATCACTAAGCGAAAACGTATCTTCTATTGTATTTTGTGACAATATACTTAACGCTTTTGTATTTTACTGCAATTTTTAACTTTAGTTATTTTGTGATCAGATCATCCCTTATCTTACCAACTGATTCCATATGTAACAAAATTGTTTTATAAAGATAAGGCGATGAAATATATTTTTTATTTATGTGTAATTTATTTTATTGTAAATAAAATGTTTACCAACTGTGGTACAAAGGAATACTTTTTTTATTAAATTTTTCCACTTCCTTACATAAAATGAGATACTTTCCATCATTATTAGTCATTTTTGATACTCATACCACAGTTTTGTGAATATGATTATATAGTATGCTATGAAATATCAATATACGTGAATTTCGTAATGTCAAAATCATTTTTGACAGTAATTTTCATACTTTTCAAATACATTTTCGTTGCCATTCCAAAGGTTTAAAGTGAATTTTAGAGATCAGTGGTTTGATTCGCAAAATACCTTCTATGAAATTATTCAAATTCCAAAGCAATTATTTTCTTGATTCTAATCTCTTCACATTTTAGAATGTAGCGAATTGAATCATTAGACGTTTGACATACAAAGTCAAAGCGATCTAGATTAGATAGAAAAGAAAGATTAATTTTGCAATATTATAATATAAAACCAAACCTCAAAACCATATTTTGCGAAGGGCAAACTATGTTATTTTTATGTAGGAAGAATTATAAGGTGAGCTTGTAGATATCCTTGACCGTGAAAATTAGGTACCTGAATTTAAAATTAAAGTATAAAGATCAAGAATTTGCTCCTCGTCGCGGTGTGGGTGTTAGAGGTCGTATACAGGGTGAAATAATTGATATTTAATACATGATGTGACAAAAACCGTTGCGCAAATAATTTATTACAATAACCTACTTAATTTGAAGAAATTACAGGGTTCAAAGTGATGCCTAATAATTGCAATAAAACATGAGTACGGTGTGATATTTAACGGATGCCTCATTTATGAAGACTAGAGATAAGGAAGCAGAAATACGGTTTCGAAAAACGAACGCTAATTGAGCTTTTTTAATTCACCGCAAGAGCGCTGGTGCTAGTACCGCTGTTCAAAATACATGGCTTCTTATGGGAATTTTGTCAAAATAATAAAAATAAACTTGTTTATTGCCAAATAAGGCACAGAATATACTAATTTATTTATGTCTAAATAAGTCTCGCATGTTTTAATTGATAAATTATTTAATTTTATCTATATAAAAAGATATTTAGGTAGGTATGACCTAATTTGAAAAGATTTGTTAAACGGTGAAATTTGGTAAGTACAAATTTGTGTCTAAATGTTTTTGAATTATACCTAAATATGGTAGTTAAGAGCAAAACAGATTTTTTATTGTTATAATAAAAACATAAAGGGAGATTTGGGAATTTATATGATTGTAATAATTGGCATTATTATTAATTGAAAAATCTAAAGAATTTACCAAAAATTCTAAACAAGTATTTAATGTTTAAATGAAATAATTAAAAAGACAAGTATGAAAATGAAACAAACCTTCAGGTTATTATTCTACATTGAACGTGACATTTTTAAATACAACCAAATATCACGTAAATTTAAGTTTATATAAAGAGGAGACAGAAAGAAAGGACCAGTTGGGAAACGCTCAGTCAAGTTCGGACTAAGGTCCAGGACTTTCGCCCCTCGGGCGAAACCCTGGTTTTGTATTCTAAAGTGTAGAGTATAGTTTTTGTGTACGATGTGAATTATGGGTAAATATCTTAACTTAATTTGACAGTGTTTTTGTTTAATAATTAATTGATTGAGTGATTAACATATAAATGCCAATTTTACATTTTCGTCCCGAATTATATTTATCTTATGCCTATCTTTATTACTATTAGTTATAGTGCTTTATTTCCTAAATGGAATTTTGTTCATTTTTTTTAAGACTATTTGTCAAGTTTTATAGTTATTGTTAATATACATTTGTTAATGTTTTAATACTTATTATTAATCTCTCCTCCCTTTCCAAACCAGCAAAATACTTCGAGCATTTGAGAAGCCTCGGCGTTTCTATTCCCTTAGGACTAAAAGGGTCTAAAACTAGTTGCCAAGAACCGCTCGACATATGCTATTAAGGGATGTTTTTTTGTATTTTATTATTTTTTCTTTATTATTTTATTTTGCCACTGGCGAATGGATGTTCCTTCAGGACTACAGGACCCTTTTGGCTGGTGACAACGCTGCCCTAAACTTATTGGCCCACAGATAGAAACAAAATACCGATCTAATAGACTTGTTGATGAGGCATGGAACATGAATTCAGATCATTCACACATTCTTCTCATTCTTAGTGACATCATTATCCAAAAGGAAAGCGCTCCTAGACTAATAAATAGGAGAGCAGACTGGCAAAGCTTCAGTCTGGACCTTGAAAATAAAATCAATCTTTCAGTTCCGTTAAGAAAAAAAGCACAGCTAGATGAAGAAGTAGAACTACTTGTGTTCAACATACAACAAGCAGCATGGGATAATACGCCACCTATTATGCAGCGAACAACAGGAAATAACTATCCTATAGAAATAATGGACCTAATCTCTGCAAAAAGGAAAACTAAATATCATCAGACTAAAGCCCCATCAGATAAAACCAAACTTAACAACGCCACCCAGCAGTTAAAAAGAGAGATAAAACAAATCAAAAATGAATCTATTTGTGAGTTCTTTAGTGAGTTGACAAACGATAAATCCACTGATTATTCTCTATGGAAAGCCACAAAGCGATTAAAAAGGCCCATTGTGCAGAATGAATGTTCCAATCAGGAATACAGATGGTAGCTGGGCTAGAAATAATATACAAAAAGTTAATAGATTCGCAGAACACTTAGAAAACACCTTCAAATCAAATGAAGTAGAAGAATTACTGAACTGAGCTCCTCTAGAGAGAAAAGACTCAATTATCAACCTCTCCAAAGTAAATTGCAGAATATATAAAAACAAATATTAATCCTAAGAAACAACTTTTGAAGAAAGCCATAATTAAATTTACACGCCTGTTTAATGCCTCATTCAAACTAAGGTATGTCCCTAGATTATGGAAAGTAGCTGAAGTTTTTATGATCCCCAAACCAGGAAAACCTCCGAACAAAGTTTCGTCATATAGGCCAATATCTCTATTGCCTATAATATCGAAATTATTTAAAAAAATACTAATAAAAAGACTGAAACCCATCATTTAAGAAAGGAAAATTATTCCAGAATACCAGTTCGGCTTAAGAGGAAACCATTCAAGTATAGATCAGGTTCATAGAATCTCAAATGCGATTGAAAAAGCATTAGCAAACAAAGAAGTCTGTTCAGCCATCTTCCTCGATGGTGCGCAGGCTTTTGATAAAGTATGGCATGATGGCTTAAAACATAAACTAAATGTGCTACTTCCACAGCCATACTTAGAGCTATTGGATTCATACATTTCAGATAGATTCTTTAGAGTAAAACAATATGAAGCATACTCTGAATTGAAAAAAATTAAAGCAAGAGTACCACAGGGAAGCGTCCTGGGACCGACTTTGTATCTGTTATACACTTGTGACATACTCCAACTAGAACAAGACACAATAGCTACATTTTCAGATGATACTGCCATCCTAGCGATAGGCAAAGATCATGAAGAAGCTGCAAATAAACTACAAACATCAGTTAATCAAACAAATAAATGGACCAAAAGAAAGCATATTAAACTAAACGAAACCAAATTTATTAATATTAATTTTACTAACAAAAATGGTCAAAGAATACCAATTAACATAAATAATGCTCAGGTCCTTTATGCTAACTCGGCAAAATATCTAGGTATTACATTAGATGCAAGACTTCGCTGGAAGGTCCATGTTAAACAGAAAAGACAAGAGTTAGATATAAAATTCACGAAAATGTACTGGTTACTTGGTAGCAGAGTTGCTGTAAGTACAAGTAAAATGCACTTAAGTCCCAAGTACAAATACTTTTAAAAATTGGAAGTAAGTACCAGTACAAGTACAATTACATTTATTTGGTACTTAAGTACTTTATAGAGTAGTTAACTTCTGAAATATACTTCAGTAAAATTTATGACACTTAAATACATTGTATACTTAACATATACAGATGTACATATTATTATATAGATGTACTTAAGTGCATTTAGGTTTAAATAAATACTTACAAAACACTTGTGTTTATTAAGAAACAGTTCATATTTTACGTATAATTTAAAAATAAAACAATACAGGATAAAATAAATATTCCTTTAATAACAAAAAAAAAAGAACAGAGTATTATAAAAACTTATAAATACATCAGTACTACTACTAACAAATCTATTTGGATATTGAGTCTAAATAATTGCCATCTGCTTTAAGAACGACTAGTTTTTCAAAATTGTAGTCGCTCAAAGCATACCTACGTGGCGCATTAATAATTCTAGCAGAAGAAAACAGTCTTTTGACTGGTGCGGAAGATGACAGGATCGTAAGCGTAAGCATGTCTAAATTAGTTCTACTTTCGTTTAGGTATTTTAGTACTTCTAATTCAGCTAGGGAGTTAGAAGTAATTGTGCTGGAATTTGGTACCCAGTAGTTTACTTAATAAAGACACCGACTCTTGTTCTTCTTCCTCAAAATCAAATAAAGGATCGTCTGACTGGATATTTTCATTAGTTATCTGATAAAGTATTCGACAGCCGAGACTACCCAGTTTTGTATTTCTTTGTATGTGGTAACATTTAAGTCTTTAAAGGCGTTATACCAGCGTATTTTGAATCGTGGGCACACTACGGCGCCAATTACGGCAGTTTTGGATTCTGGACTTCAACTGGAGTTCAAAATTCTTTAAATCTTTGCCCAACATACTTAATTATGACCTCTATAGGCACTGTTAGCTGTTTAGTTTTCATCTAAACTAAGCTGGGAAGAAAATACCCATAATAGGTGTTATGCTGTCCCCATAAAAAAATCTAATGTTTCAGCCAGAGGCTGCATTAAAAGAATATTTCATTTTTCTTAAATACCGGAATCATAAATTTATAGCATAGAACTTCCAATTTATCTTTTATGGAAACAATTTGAACGACAGCGTTATAAGTGGAGCTCCTCTTAACTTCTTTTAATTTATGTCCAAATTCTTCTTGTATTATTTCAGTCGATTTCGGCCGTCCGCATTTATTCCACAACTTCAAACATTTGGAAAATATTTGTCTGTTTTT